TGAAGCTTCTCTTGATGACCCCAGCTATCAACATCTTCCTTCTTCAGTCTTCTGTAGCATTGTATATCCTCTCATGGGACTTATGTTCTACCTTATATATAATCCCTTCCACTAGATTGTAAGCTTTTAGAGGAAAGAATCTAGGTCTTACTCATCTTTTTAATGTCGTATGGTGCCCTCAGTAAATCTGTATTGAATGAATGAGTTGAATTTGTTGATTTGCTATTCAGGATTTCATTATTCTTTACCAATAACTACTCTTTGTTTTTAATCGAACCTCTATTGGTGAAGAAGGAAAGCGTTGTTGGTGTAAACGAACTTGTAAGAGTGGTGCCTTTTATTTTACACCTTGGTGAATTGAAGACCAGATGGTGCTTAGAGAAAGCAAAGAAACTTGAGAAGGCTCTCTATTCGATAATATTTCTCTCCACATTTTACCATTTGGGTAAAGGAGGTTCTGCTTTGTAAATTCAGTCTCATTCATGCCTGAATGTCAGTTGCTTTATGCAGATATGGCTTCAGTACCTGGTAGTTTTGCTAGAGAGAAGAAGATATCAGACAATTCTAATACTTGGGGGAGGAGAAATAAGAAACTTTGGATCCTAGGGAATCTTCTGACAGAATTAAGGTACAAAGATGAAATGAGGGGGGAAAGTACAAACTCTTACTTTCACAGTGACTTTCCCTTTGGTTTTCTCTAGTCCTCCATCTTTATTATAGCTTCTTAAAGATTTCCTTATTTGCAAGAACCTCCAAAACCTACAACCTTAAGAGTGTTGCTATCAGCCTCTTGTTCTTGTAATTTCACCACAGTAAAATCAGGCCTCCAGGTGATCATTTCATAGTTGGAATAGAGTTTTTTAATTTTACAGCAAGATTACCTTTCTGACTGTTGGTATCTGCCTCTGTTACCTCTACGGTTTCATTTTGTTGGTAAAGTAAGCATTTTCAGAATACACCACCTACTCTATTGTAGTAGGACTTACACACTTTTATCCATCCTTTCCCAATAGTTCATTAGTATACTTTCCTTTATCCTTATTTTGATTTGATCTGGTTTTGCTCTTCTGCAATCCACTTTGGGACTCCCATTTTTGAGTCATTTCAAAAGCAGGTTAGGGAGTTTTCTCATCCCACAGACCCATTTGGTGTTCGTGTTTGTTCCTTTTTACATCTAAATACTTTTCCCACCTCCAGCTGCTTTTTTTTCCTCTCCAACCAATGATACCCAACATCAACGACATGTTAAATCTTAAAATTATGGAGCCTCAGAGATCCTCTAGCCCATTATTTCTAGTTTTGCAGTGCAGATCGCCTAGAACAGGAATTCCTAACTATTTTGTGTCGGAGACCTCTTTGACTGGTGTCAGTCTGGTGAAGCCTATGGACCCCTTTTCAGGAGCATGTTTTAAAATACACAAAAATAAAATACATCAGCTTACAAGAGAGACCAATTATAGTGAAGTACAGTTATCAAAATATTTAAAAAAGTTGATGAATTCCCAGATTAAGAACCCCTGCCTTAGAATATAATTAAAATCAACCAATAATTATTAATACCTAACATACACACACACACACACACACACACACACACACACACACACACACACATGTATGTATATATATGTATGTATATATATCAGAGTATAAGACTTGGATGTCTGCCTTTAAGGAGTTTACAATCTAATACGGAAGTTAAACATGGAGAGAGTTAAAAAGCAATAAAATATTTAAGTAACAGTTTAAGACAAAAGATGTTATAAGGCAGTTCATGATTTTTTCAGAAAATAATTCAGAGCGAGAGAGCTCATCTTATCTTATTCTGAGGCTATCAGGGAAGGTTTTATAGAAGTGGCATTTGAACGGCATTCGAAGAGGAAGGGAGAGAGTGCCTTCCCTGCCTGTGCTTCTCAATGATTGACGTATGCGTAAGCTCCTCAGCACAAGAGCAAGAAGTCTGTACTTGGTGGCAGTAAAGTGCTTAGTGCTGTATAAGTATGCATTGATAAGCATTTATGAACCAACTACTGTGTGTGCTAAGCACTGCGGCTGGTTTAATGTACACACGTGTACATACTCACAAAGTACTTTCTGAAGGGGAGGGAGAAAGAGTAGCAAAAGGGGGATCAGGATAGGCTTGTTTTAGTAGGTAACCCTTAAAGCTGAGCCTTAGAGAATTTTAGGAATTCTGTGAGGCAAATGTAGGAGAGAGAGTGAGTGCTTTCTAGGCTTGGGTGATAACCTAGGCCATAGGTTCCCAAAGTGAGTGGTGCCGCCCCCCCAGGGTCGATGGACTGATCCAAGGGGGTGGTAGTAGACTCACGTGCAATTGGGGGGCATTGAATAAAAATAAGGGAGCAGTGGAAGCATGAGGATGAAGAGGAGAGAAGAAAATTTTGAAAAACCACGTGTACATGGTTCATCTATTGTGTGACAGAGTTAAAAGTTGTAAAGTGATTACATTATTTTCCAAATAAACACAAAAAATGCAAGTTGTAACCACTCAGCGGTCAAGTCTGCTGGCAGGTCTTAACAAACAAATGTTGGCAGGCAAGTGTGTCATACCTTGTCTAGAAGTCCAGCAGGAATATGTGCGTGTAATGACTTGTTTACAGTATGATGCAGTATGGTTACATGACACAATGTTGCATCCTCACAATCTCAATGCAGGAAAAAGCCACAAATTTACAATAAATTATTAAATTTAAGATGCATCATTTTAAAAAAGAAAAACAACAACTCTATATTGAAGGGTTAAAGAAAGTAGATTTCCAGGGAGGTGCTGAGTAATTTTTTTTTAAGGGGGCAGTAGGTTAAATAAGTTTGGGAATCTCTGCCTAAGCAAAGACACAGGTAGGAAATGGAATATTGTGTACAAGGAGCAGCAGAAGGATCCATTTTTGTTGGATCATAGAGCATATGAAGAGAAGGTATGATAAAACTGAAAACATAGGCTAGCATTAAAACGGTGGCATTTAGAACCCTGAACACTGGAACTTGAATTATATACCCTAGAGATGATTGGGAGCCACCAGTATTTTTTGAGCAGGGAACTGACCTGTACTTGAGAAATCAGTTTGGCATTTCCTACACAGGAAGATAGAATGGAGAAGGGGGAGGCTGGAGGCATTAATTAGGAGGCTGTTGTAATAAATGAAATAGGAGGTGATGAGGGCCAGAATAAGGGTTAGGAGCACAGAACAGCTGCAAGAGATGTGGTTGTAGACTTGACCAGATTTGGCAACTGAGTGGATCATCCAATCAATAAGCAGTGTGTGTGTGTGTGTGTGTGTGTGTGTGTGTGTGTGTGTGTGTGTGTGTGTGTGTGTGTGTGTGGTATGAGAGAGAGGGGAGAGAAAGAGAGAGAGAGAGAGAGAGAGAGGAAGAGAGAGAAGAAGAGAGAGAGAGAGAGGAAGAAAGAGAGAGAGAGGGAGGGAGGAAAGGGAGAGACAGAGAGAGAGGGAGAGAGAGAGGAGAGGGAAGGGAGGAGAGAGGGGGGGAGGGGGAGAGAGAGAAAGAGGAAAGAGAGAGGGAGAGAGAGGGAGTGCATTTGGAGTGAGAGCATGTGGTTTCAAGTCTTGACTGCTGCTGTCACCCATGTGACCTTTGGGAAGACACTTAACTTCTCTGACCAGTTCCCTCATCTTGAAAATGAGGTGGGGAGGGGTAATTTGGATGACCTATAACTTCTCTTCAAGCTCTCAATACGTGTTCTGTTATTGTGACCTAATTGGATTCTTTAGAACTAGAAAAGCTCATAATCATTAGAAGTCAGTGGGAACCAGGGATCCTCCTCTTGGGATGATTTATTGGCCTTCTTTTAGCTCACTGATTGTGTTACCTGATTTCTTTCTTTCTTTTTTTTCTCTTTTTTTGTTTGTTTTTCGCTAGGCAATGGGTTAAGTTACTTGCCCAGGGTCACACAGCTAGTAAGTGTCAAGTATCTGAGGCCGGATTTGAACTCAGGTCCTTCTGACTTTAGGGCCAGTGCTTTGTCCACTGCACCACCTAGCTGCCCCTCTGATTTCTTGACCTAATGAAGGGCAAAGACCAGTCTGGTCATTTTATTTTTTTTATTTTTTATTATTGTTATTATTATTTTTTGGTGACGGTTAAGTGACTTGCTCAGGGTGACACAGCTAGTAAGTGTCAAGTGTCTGAAGCCACATTTGAACTCAGGTTCTCTTTGACTCCAAGGCCGGAGCTCTGTCTACTGCCCACCTAGCTGCCCCTTAGTCTGGTCATTTTAAACACTAGTAATTAAGGAGTGAAAAAAAAAATTTCTAAAAAAAAGTTGCAATTCCCATGGAAAGTATAGAAGTGAGCATCTTAGGAAATTAAAAATGTTTGGTTTTTATTACTGTTGATTTTTTTTTTATTACGGATACTCTTAGGCCATAGAATACTTCATTTTGGCATTTAGTGGAAAGTTAGATTTTCATTTTAACTGTAAGTTGTGATGTATTATTTTTAGTTTAACAGATCCTTGGATTTGTCAGATGAGTCCATATGTCTTCGTTACTACAAGAGCTATGTAGTCTAACTCTTACATCTTTTAAATGTATTTATTTTTGTATATTTCTGACATTTATAGTTTCATATTTTTGTTTGCATTTGTTATTGTAACTTCTGATTGTGCTGGAGGTTTTAATTAGGTCAAAAGTCTAAGTGCAAATTAAAACTTACTTCTGAACAGCATAATTAAAACAAGTAGATAAGACTTTAAACCATTTGTATTTACGTTATGAAGTCTCCTTAGCCATGTGAAAAGTGCCAAGGGCTTGCAGATGGCCCATCAGCTTGCTTTCTGTTTCTTAAATAAGAAATTGACCTGCCTGTCTGGCCCTTTCCTCTGCTCAGTGGACATGTTGTCCCCTGTCTCTCATGAGGGGAAGGCTTTACTATGCTCTACCATGTTGTGTAAAGTTATAAGCGAATGCTGATAGTTGATGGTACATCACCTTCTAAATACTTTGCTTTCTCTGTCTTTATCATAGACCTCCAGATTTTCAGCTGCTAAAGGAAGGACAAAGGTATGGTTGAATGGGGATCCCTTCTGTACAGCACAGCCATGGTTTGCAACCTTGGCAGTAACCCAGGTGACAGGAGCTCTTTGATTTCCTGTGTCGATGTATTGTGGAAGTGCCCCATTGTACCCACACAATGAAGTCCTGGAGGGACCTGTCGAGCTTTTTCTTTTGTGTTGCCCCAGCAGGATGGTTTGCTCTGTATGATTTAGTGCACAGCTGCTCCTACCTGGGAAGTCTTAATTGACCTGTTGAAATCTGACACAAACATACCTCCTGCTTTTTCCATCCTATGTACTGTAGGTCTTTGTTAAATAGATTGGTCCAATTATATGTGTTGAAAGGTTTTTAAAAATCTAAATTTACAGTATTTGAAGTTAGGGATTTGCCAGTTATGTAATTATTTGAAATAATGTTTTAGATTCCTGGATTTTTTTTTCTTTAATCTTTAATCATTTTCCTCACCAGGATATGGCCCCTTTTTAGTGTCTCTCTTACTTACCATCCTGTTCCTTGCATGACCTCCTGACCTCCCCGCCCTCAAAAAAAAGAACAATCCTGGCTGGTTATTAGTCACCACCTAGGGGCTAGATAGATGGAGATTGAGTGGGTTAGAGATCTTTATCTATTCATACATAGCTGTAACATGGAATTTTAAAGTAATATAGAAAAACATGACTGCCACCTCCCAGCCGAAGATTTTTGTATTGATTACTAAACTGTGAAAGGTGAAGTGATTCTAGATTTCACTGAATTATACTCACTTATTTTTCCTCTGACCTTAGACGTAGTCATAGCCTGGTTTGGGGATAAATTATGACTAAAAAGTATATTCCTGGCTCTCCTTCTCTGCAAAAAACAGCACCTCCTCTCAAGGGAAAAACAGCCTCCCAGCAACGCACTCAGCAGTTCTTAATCTCTCTATCAGATCTCATCCAAAATTTCAAAAATACGGGAAGAGAATATTTCCACTTGTTATTGGCATTACTGTCCGATTCTGAGATTTGTGTTTTTGCCTTTCTCCAGCTCTTACTTTTGAGGGGTTTTTGTTTTTGTTTTTGGACTGGACCTGTGGTTTCGTTGGTGTTGGGAATGCCTGGAAAGGAAACTGGCTCTGCCGGTGCAGGTTGGCACTCACTGCCTTGAGCACTGCTGAGAAATGACGCAGTCTTCAGAGGGTCACCTGGCTAGTGAGTCAGAGGCTGGAATAAGGCTAGTCCTGGTTACTCCAAAGCCAGCTCCTGAGCTGCGGCCCCATGCTGCCTTTCACTGTATGGTTAAAACAGGCCTTAATTACCTCCTCTTTGTCATAACTTTTCTACTTCCTTGGCTGTGGTGGTTAGATCATCTTTTGTGTGTCTGAAATACCCCAGAAAAGTTTATGGCATTTTCTACTCACCGTAATCTTCATTTTAGTTTTTTTAAGTTTAAATGAAATGGTTCTGATATTTTTTTTTTTGTGAAACTAGTAATGAGAGTCTCCAAAGTAAAACCGAAAGAAATTCTATAAAAGTTTTAATAGGAGCAGTTTCAAAATAAACTCTATCCCAGTACTCATGGAAAAGCACATAGAAAGATGAACAAGTTAAGTCTTGGGCATGTCTTTGACATGTAATTCAAAACTCTCTACTTTTGAAAACTGCAAAATGGCAGCAGCTCAGCCTGCTTTGCTGTGTGTCTCTTCTTTCCTCCCCCCACCCCCCAGTGGTCATTCTGGCGAAGAAGTCAGGTTACGTGACGAGGCTGTGAAGACGTGGGACATTGAGAATCCTGAGCGGCCGACAAGCCAGGATGAGTCCGGGTCCTCCAGCAGCCACAGTGATAGTAGCAGCGAGGACGAGCAGGGATTTGTTTCTTCTCTTCTACCGGGGAACAAACCAAATGCGACCCTTGGAAGGCAGCAGCCATATCCAGAAAGCATCCCGAAAAAGCGGCCTAGCCAGAGAGCGAGCTCCAGACACCGGGACAAAGACCTGCCGGCCGCAGGTGTGGCCGCGCAATTGAGCAGGTGTGCACTGGGCAGCCCGGAGAAAGCGGACACCTGTGCCCTGTGTGTTCAAGAGGAACATGCCTGTGTTTCACCAAGTTTTTCCTCAGAAAAATCAAAAGCATTGGAGAATTCTGAAGATGGTCGTGATAGTTCACAGATAACTCTGGTAGGCATAAGCAAACAAGGAGCAGAACGTTTTAGGAGGAAATTTGCAAAGTTGAATCGGCATGCCCTATCAGGTTCCGGTGCACTCCAGGTAGATCCCACTGAAGCTAAAGCAGGCCTGTTTGAAGCCCTCAAGGGGACTTTGGTGGAATGGAAGACAGAAGAAACGTTGACATTTTTATATGGAGAGAACTATGTCGCTGTCCCTCTGACAGCCTCACCACCCACTCCTCAGGCTGCGGATAAAGAAAAAGACGAGGAGGCTCTGGTTCCAGGGCTGGAGAGTCTCATTTCTGCTGCTGGACAGGTGTCTCAGAACACCCTGGATCAGTCCCTGCCGTTCGGTGGCTCAGGCACCGCCATTCACCCTCTGCCAAGTTACGAGAGCCTCAAAAGAGAAACTGAAGTATTGAATTTAAGGATTAGGGAGTTCTATAGAGGAAAATATATTTTGGATGAGCAGTCTCCCAAAGTAGAAACTACAGACAAGGTATGTCTTAACTCTTGGTGTCAGGTGTGGGGAAGGGAGGGAGGAATTTAAGAGCATATGGTTTCTTCTTCTTTTTTTTCTTTTTGGTTCCTTCAACCTAAAGATGATCTCCACAATAGTAACGCTCCTGGGCCCCCCAGAGGGCTGTCTTTTCAGCCTTTTTAAATCTAACTGAACCTTGCTTGGTTCTGCCCCTAGGTCATGCTGGTGGCTGCCCCAAAGAGCTCCAGGAAAGTTCCTGCCTTGTGGCAATGAACAGCCTGCCATAATTCTGTTTGCAGTTTTTTTGTTTGTTTGTTTGTTTGTTTGTTTTTTAGGCAATTGGGGTTAAGTGACTTGCCTAGGGTCACACAGCTGGTAAGTGTCAAGTGTTTGGTCTGAGGCTGGATTTGAACCAAGGTCCTCCTGACTTCAGGGTTGGTGCTCTAGTCACTGTGCCACCTAGCTGCCCCTGTTTGCAGTGTTCATAAATGATGGGGCTGTTGTTCTACTCTGTAGGGGTGGCCCAGAAAGGCAGGGCAGAGGTTTCACTAAAGAGCAAAGTTTCCCATGTTGTAAAATCTCAGAAGAGGCTTTTTAAATTCTGTTCTTTGTTTGGTTTGGGGAATGGGTCAGATCATTTAGTTGAAAGTTGAGTATGAGCTTAACTTTATTCATCTGTAAGACTCAAAATATAGCAGAAATGGCAGTTCTAGCTTTAAAACTGGGAGAATTTTGGAGAAAATTATATTCTGTGTAACATAAATTACAGGAGAGCACTTCAAAGATCTGCCACAGACTTACTCCATGGCCTTAGGCAATTCACGCAACTTTCGAAGGGTCCCAGTGTTCTCATCTGTTCTGTGGAGGAGTTGACCTCAATGTCTTAAGTCCTTACCTGCTAAACCTTTTTTAGGGCCGTGGCTATGAGAAGATGGATTGGGAAATGAACTGCCAGTCGACATGAAGGGCTGGGTTATTTTATCTTGAATTTTACCACAAAAATCTTTTTCATCACTAGGAATTTTCTAAGTCAAATTTAGGAATGTGAATGTAGTGATTGGAAAGAGAATTTTATTCAGAATTTAGGAATAAATTTTATTTGCGTAAATGGTAGCCTGGCCCCATGCTTGAGAATACAGAAGTGTTCTTGTATGGCAAGCATGGCTTTTTTTGTGCTAAAATGGGAGAGACATTAATGCCCAGCAGATATATGGCTCATGTTAGTGCCACTGTTTATCTTTGACGAAGATGGCTTTGAGCCCCAGGGAGATGAGTAAAGAAGTACTTGATATTTGGAACTTTTGTAGTCATCATTTTATTAAAAATCGGTTTTTAAAAGTATTATCCTTAGTTCTAAAAACTACCAACTTTGGATTAAGAAAAGTACTGTTTTTTAAATTTGTGATGATTCTCCATTCTTTAAAATAAGAAATAAAATCACATTTCTTCTTTGTTTTTTACAAACGTGATTCAGGGTGATCCCACATTTCCACTCATAGATTCAAGTTCTCAGAACCAGATTAGAAGACGCATTGTACTTGAAAAATTGACTAAAGTGTAAGTATATAATAATTTTAGAAATTTTATATGATAATTTTGAGCCTTGATAGTTAGCAATATTAGTATATTCAGCTATTCTGAAAAATAGTTTTAGGGATGCCATCATAGATTCCTTCAACTACGAAATAGTTCATTAATTGAAACTTTGGGTGGATTTTTATAATGTTGGTGGAGAGGGGAAGATACTATATGGGAGTCACAAAATTAAGTGGGAAATTAAGATTAGATAAATAGAGAACTGGTTTCCTGGGAACTGCTACACTGTTAAGTAGAAAAATAAAATAGCTTAAATTTTAGCATCTTTGACTCCTGAATGAGAAGTTATTCCCATTCAAACACTGATCTGTGGTAGACATGTTATATATTACAATTTCCCAAGTGTGGCTTTTAAAAAATTACTATAAAAACTAAGTCCTAACTGTTTTCATCAGTTGATAACACATACAGACAGAGAGCTAGCTTATGGTCAACACTGGAATCTTCAGCTGCAAGTTTTCCTTTTTCCTGAGAGCCTTAGAATTGTGGTTTTAATACAGGAGACCTTAAAAATCATGCAGTTTGCCCCCTCCTCCATTTCTGGCTTCCTCTAAAGGAAAATATTCATCGTCATTAGAATTAGCCTGATCAGTGACATTTAGAACCACTTATTTATCGGAGATAGCTCCTGATGTTGGGGCTGCCTTGGCTTCTCTTCTAAAAAAGGCTTGTGGGAGCAGCTAGGTGGCACAGTGAGTAGAGCTCCAGCCTTGGAGTCAGGAGGACCTGAGTTCACATCTGCCCTCAGACACTTGACGTGTACTAGCTGTATGATCCTGGGCAAGTCACTTAACCCCAACTGCCTAACCCCAAAAAAAGAGCGAGTCACCTCTCTAGAGCTATGATGATAGCTGCCATCCAGTCACTTAAAGCACCGTCCAGCCCTCATTTTGGTACTCCATAGAGTTATCCCCAAAAGTACCGTTTGGCTCAAGGTTTCTTTTTGGGACTTGTTTTTGGGGTGATGTTTATGCAAGAGAACTCATGTTTTTGGGCTGTGTAGAATTCAGGCACGCTCACTTCTGAGCATTGTTAGATTTTTAAGCAGCCTTTGTATAGAACAAAGGAAGTTTCAGAAGTATAGTTTGAGAATGCAGTTCTTTGACTTTTAAAAATTGTTTCCAAGTGAAAGCTAAAATTGTCTTATTTACCAAATCTTCATTTTTGATTTGACATTGCACACATAATTTCTTGGGAAGAAGGTCTCTCATATTGATATTTCAATTCAGTGGGGTTTTTTGGTGGGGTTGGGGGTGGTGAGAATTGAAAGAGGACCAGACCCACGATTTCATTGTTGCCAGGAGCCCTTGGTGAGGAGATTGTATGAGCTAGTTAAGTAGCAAATAGACTTTTCTGCATATATGTAAATTTACTTTCAAGAAATACTATTTTCAAAAATATCCCAGATCTCCTGTTTATATGCACAGGGAAAACATTTGAGAGTGTCAGCCAGCCATTTTTCTTTAAATCTGTGTACTTGCATGTCGACCATCTCTGTGTGATTAAACAGAAACAGTGTGGTATGGCTTCCTTCCACAGTTGTCCAAGGCGTGTGTCTCCCAGAAGCACACTTTGTAGTTGTAGTCAGTTGTATCTTGGTTAATGAACATCACTGATTCTAAAACTAGAACCATGTAAACATTTATTTCATTGAAGGAATTCTGTTCCTCTTACGTTTTTTCTACAACAGAATTGTAGAAGAATGAGCCATACCAGGAGGCCATTAGCAAATCACATGTGCTTAAAACGAGAATTGGGGACAGAAACAAAGAGAAAGTGGAAGGCCCACTGTCAGCCACGGTGACCTCGGTGGCGGCTTTGATTTTTATGTCAGGATAGAGACCCCTGCAGCCTGACAGTTTCAAGAACCAGCTCCTGCCTTGACTTTGATTTCTACTTCTCTCGAGTGTGGCTCCCATATACCCCTTGGTTTTCCTCCACTAAAAAACCTGGAAGTCAAGAAACGAGAAGCACTGTCAGAATGTGCCAGATCTTGGCCAAATGGCTTCCGGCCTGCCTATGTCCTTCCGGGATCACTTTGTGACCCTCCTGGAAAGCAGATTGGCTCGTCCCTGTCCGCCACGTCCTCGTGACGTTCCTCCCTAGTCACAGAACCTGAACGTTGCCACATGTGCCAGTTAAATCATGAAAGTATCATGGCAAACAGGCATAGACTTATTCTACTCACAAATTACAGAAGTATATCTAGAATTAGGAAAATATTTTAAAAAGAAAGTAATTGAAGCATTTTTGTTATTATTTTCAGATTGCCAGGAATCTTGGGTCCTCTTCAGGTTACATTGAGTGATATCTACACTGAACTTAAAAATCTTGTCCAGACTTTTAGGTTAGTATCAAATATAATAAAGTTTTCTTTTCCTTACTTTGACCTTGCAATCAACAGCTTACAAGAAATTCTGGTTTGTAAAGAAAACACTTGGAGATTGACTGGAAATTTAGATTTCAACACCACCCTGAGAAATGAGGTTGGGGAAAACTTACAAGGAAGCAAAGAAAATATGGACATCTCTGAACACAATGTGTAGCATTTGTTATATATACTTTCTTGAAATGGAAATTTATTGCTGTATGTTTTGAATCCTCTCATGTTCTGCTGCGCACATGGAAATGCTTTTTTTCTTTTCTTATTTTTTATTTAAGTTTATAATATGTTTTTCTTACTGTGTATTTAAGTTTTAGAAATTAAAAAAACTTAGAAAAGAAATGAGGCTTGGGGATGACAAGACTAAAGGAATTCTCCTGAGAATGCAATCATTTTGACCCATCTCACATTTCTAGGGTACCTTACTCCCAGAAGGAAGCACTAAGGCTTCAGACATCGGTAATATAAGACATTACTGCTGTTTTAGAGATTTTGAAGAGTCCCTCCCTAAATTGATCGTCTTCCTCTTCTGCCCTCCCAAATCATTTCTTCCTCCTGGCTTTGTTATTTTTGTCAATAATGCCACAGCCAGTCACAAGGTCTGAAACCTCATTGTCCTCCTTGATTCTTTTCTTTTCCTTCTCCCCATATTTATTCAGTCAATTTCCAAGTCTTCTTTTTCTTTCTGTCTTCATGATGTCCCTTATGTCTGTCCCCTCTGGTCTCTTCCAGCTGTCACCGCCCCCAGGTCAGGTCCTCATTATCTTTTGTGGACGATATGTTGACAAGGTTTTGACTTTGCAAAGTCCAGTCTCCATTTGCTCCTGCCAGTGTAACTGAAAAGAAGGCTTTGGGGTCTGGGGTCTTGACTTAGAATTTCAGCTCAGTTCCTTGTTACCTGTATGACCTAGGGTTCATCTCTCCCTCTCTGAGCTTCTAGATCAGGAGTCTGCACTCAGCTCCGTTTTATGATCTGTGTCACCTCCTTACTCACAACCACTGAAAGCTGCTTTTCTAAATAAAATCTGGGCTTTATTGGACATTTCAGGACCAATACTATTTAGCCCCAACCTATGTTTCAGTTATTAAAATAATAACAAAAACTAGCTCTGTTTAGCACTTTACAGTTTGCAGAGGGCTCTTTATGTGTTACCCCATGTGATAGGTGCTATGAGTCTCCATCTAAAGCTGAGGAGACTGAACCTGGGAGAGGAGAGAGGTGATTTGCCCAAGGTCACATGGCTGATGACTTTGTTCTGCCTCTGGGTATCCTGACTCCAAGTCCAACACAGTCAGTAGTTGTGAAGGATCCACCTTGTGGGTGCAAGGCCTGGTGCTCGGTTGTGGAGACACAGACAAGAATGTGATGATCCCTGCCCTCGAGGAGCAGAACCATGAGCAGACACAAACATTCCAGTGTGTAGAGCCATGTACTTCTGCTGCAGTGAGGTTTTTAAGTGTATATTAAAAGGTGGTGACAAAATGTCCTTATTTGTGCTTGCTTCTGAACGTTTGTATATTTTTTAGGCTTCAGTGATGCATTTTTCTTTTTTCTCTGTGTTTCATCTTGGTCACTTCCTGCTAACTCTTTACTCCCCACATTGCCTCCACCCCAGAGAAGCCCTTCCTTGTAACAAATAACTCTACTTAAGAAACGCAAATCAGTGCGTAGCTGAGTCCAGCAGCGGAGGGCTCATTCCATCCCTCTAGGCCATCGCCTCTTGGCCAACTGGTTCTTCGTTCTTGGGGTCACGAGCTAGAGCTCTGGGCTCCATATTCCCAACCTGATGTTTCAGTTTTTCTTCTAGACTCTGCTGCCTTCATCTCCTCAGGGAGACAAAGCTCCCCTTCCACTCAAACCTTGATATGTAAGAAGACTTTGCAGTATCGATCCCTTCCAGGCCTGCAATTCTGGGATGACAGAGTGGGCTTCCCCTCATGAGATGCCTCTCTCCCTTGCTTCCTTCCTCCCTCCGTCTCTGCCTCCATCCTTCCTATCTTCTTTCCCTCCCTCCGTTACTCCCTTCCTTTCCAGGGTGACCTACAGCTGGGCAGGGTCTGTAGGGAATTCCTGTCTAGGTACAGGCTAAACTGTGTCCCCTGATATTCTTCCAGTTCTCATACTGTGGAGGTCGTGCTGGATTGGTGGTCTGAGGTGATCTGAGTTCAAGTCTTATCTCTGTCATTTATTAGCCTTGTGACGTTGGGCAAATCACTCTCCACTTCTGAGCCCTTCATGACCGCTGAAGTTTCTTCAAGCTCTAACTTTTAATAGCTTAAAACTGCACAAGATTTTTGGGATGCCCCATATTATCCTATGAGATTCTCTTTTCCTGATATATTCAGTTTTGGCTAGTTTCATCAGGGAATAACTTGAAACCAAGAAAAAAAAAGTTGATATACAGTGATATATAGGCCCTTGGGCTATAAAATATTTGGTTTTAGTCAACAGATGTTAATCACTACTGGGGGCTGGGTTGGAGAGAAATGTTTTTTAAAAGTGCGAAACAAGATTCTTGTCTTTGAGGTTACATTCTAATTGGGGAGATAAGTTTAACACATACAGTAATGAAGAAGTACTATAATGATGCACATTTTTATAGGTTTGCAAAGTACTTTATATATATTGTTTAATTTGATCCTCAGTTGTGAGGATCAGATAACCCTGAGGAAGGTGCTATTGCCCCATTTTATAAATGAGGAAACTGAGGCTAAGAGCATTACTCATGGTCCCACAGCTAGTGAGAATCTGAGGCTCCATCCACTGGTGCTAACGTGTGTGGTGCAGATTACATGCTATTGGAGGTCAGTGGTTCCTGTGATCACATAGATTTGGGATCCTGACTGGTTTCTCAGTAGGAAGCTGAGCCATCGCTGTTTCTTGACATGTGCACACTTGGAATATAGCTAAATCTGTGGAGGAAACTGTGGTGCTTAACGTTGATGTGTTCTGGTTTGTATATTCAGCTATATTGGGGATTGTTTCAAAGAGGCTTTCTTCCATGCATTAGAAGGTCAGAGTCTGCCAGCAGAAACCCAATTGGACTATTACCAAATTTTAGCAAAATTAGAGTAAAAATGAAACTTATGTTTTCAGCTGATCTGAGCTTCACTTTGGAAGGCTTCAGTTCAGCGGGTAGCGAGCTGGAAGACGTGTGCACCAAGGACCTGTAAGCTTGTTTTAACCAGAGTTGTGGCCCTTGCATGCACATTTCCACAGGGGCAGATATGAAGAAGAGGGAATGGTCAAAATGGGATTGCATTCCCTGGCTAAAGCAAAAGGGCATGAATGACAGGAGGAAATGGGAGAGGGGCCAGCTCAAAATTAACAAGGAAATTGTTTCTTTTAAATTCTTGCTTTAAATTGGCAACCTGTTTTTCATGGCCTTTCTGTAGAAGATAAGTTTATTAAAGTGTCTGCTTGTTTTAAGAAATATCTTTGAGAAAAAGCAAAAATGGTTATAGAGTACTTGTCTCCAGATGTGAGGATCGCTCTAATCAAGTGGCCTGTATTGTGTGCCCCAGGTAGTGGTTTCTGAATTCCATAAATGTTTCCAGGTACCTGTTACACCTGTCAGATTCAGTCCCATGTAATAAGTAAAGTAACTGAGACATCAACGTATCTAATCAAATCTTGGTACAAATTTTGAAGCGTGGCTCCTCCTCTTTGTGCTCCTGCACCTCCTCTGGTGTGCTTACTTTATGTAATAGAAGCAGCCTTTTACTTCCTTTTCTAACATATCAGTCCCTTCCATTTGAGTTGCAAATTATTTAATTTGGGTAAAAACAAGGTAAAGCATGAGTCAGCCATGTCTTTTACCAGCAACTAACCTATTTTTAACTGTTTTGGGGAAATTTTTCTTCTGAGACCTTTGCATCAACAGATCAGCTTGTGCCTAACAATGATTGCCTGGATTGTTTTCTACAAAGGACCATTTACCTGGGGATTTAGTTAGAATTGTTTAAAATGACTCCTTCTTTTGGAAGACTGTGCTGAATCTAGCCTGCTGCCTGGCTTTGGGGTCTTCCAGACTCATCTCCTTCTGGAGGTCAGCCCTGCCACAGATGTGTGTATCTGTTTCTAAGCTGACTCCTTTGCAAGTAACAGATTGATAATATTGACTAGTGTTGAGACCTTGCTAACCAATACAGGCACTGGGGAAGAGTTCATTGACACCAATAACCATATTTCTCCATTTGTGTCTGAGAACAATTGCTTTTAGAGCTCAGATCAATAGGAGACCTTGTAAAGCATAAACCTGAAGCCACTTTCTGTGTTCTATGAAGAGCCTTTTCCCCAGTGACTCAGAGCTGTCTTTTCCACTAGATTTCAGCACAGCAGATTAACCGGAATTTTACATGTGATTTACCTGTCAGAGTGTTTCCATCAGAAGGTTCTTAATAATGGTTTGTTACTGTCATCAGGATTCATCAAGGCATTCTTCTAATTCCATTTAGTTTCAGGACAGAAAGCATTTAGGCTTTTTTAGAAGACATTTTTAGGCTCTTCCGCTTCCGGGAGCCAAGATGGCAGAGTGAAAAGGTAGTCGCTCTCACCCTCCCCTATTAACCTCTGAAAACCCAGAAAATATCACCTCAGGAAAAAAACTCTGGAACAACGGAGCCATAAGAAAGACAGGGAGCAGCAGTGCAGCAGCCCAGCAAACGGATCTCCCAGTGCCTCAGCAAAAATAAGGGAAGCAGCACTACAAAGGGCCCCAGGCAGATAATCACCCTGCAGCATTCATCTGAAAGGAGCTGAAAAAAGCAATCTAGAGTCTTCCTAAAGCCCCAGTCTTGCTGATTCCAACCCAGCACCAGGTAAGCTGTCAGAACCTCCATCTGTCAACCAGGAAGAGATCCTGAAGCCCTGGTGGTAGAGCAGGCAAACACCAACACCAACACCTGGACCTCCAAGTGCCTCAGTGAGGGTGGGGGGAACTGGTGGAAACCAGCTCAGAAAACCACCAGTTGCCTCAGCACTCTACCAAAGGAATCTCCCAGTGCATTAGCAGAAACGAGGGAGACAGCACTGCAAGGGCCCCAGGCAGATAAACACCCTGCAGCACCCATCTAAAAGGAGTTGAAGAAAGCTAAAGGAAAGGAAAAGCAGGCAACATAGAATCGCCTGAAAGTTCCAGCCTTGCTAATTCCAGCCCAACATGAGGTAAGCTGCTAGAACCCTACAGCCTCCAATTGCCAACATAAGAGGCCCCAGCACACAAAGCCAGTGACCAAGACCTAGGCTCCCAACACGAGAAGCTTGGGTCAGTGCCCTCTGTTCCCCAGCAGGAGAGCTCAATCTCCTTAAAGGCCAGGGAATAAAGAAACCATGAGTAAAAAGAAACGTGCCATAGATTCATATTATGAGAAGAGTGAAGATCAAGACAGAAATTCTGAAGAGGACAACACTGTCAACAAACCCACATCTGCAGCAACAAAAGGGAATATGAACTGGTCTGAAGCCCAAAAAGCCTTCTTAGAAAAGAGCTCAAGAAGGATTTTAAAAGTCAAATGAGAGAGGTAGAAGAGTCCTTAGAAGACATTTTTAGCAATTATAATTGTATGTGGGAGCTAAAAGTACTTGTACTTTTCACCCATTTATTTCAAATTCTACAACTTCATTTATTGAATGATACAACACAACTAAAATCATTTAATAACCATTAAGTTCGTTGTTGCTACATCAAAGGAAAAGTTAAACAATTTGCCCACACAGACTACCCCTGAAAATACTACATCTTGAACATTTATGTAATCTTAAAATTATTTTTGAAAATCTTTGGGGCATTTAAGAACAAGAAAAGGGAGTTGAGCTTACCTGTTTTGTAATTTATTCTGCACGTTTAAACCTCTGGGTACTTTTTCTTAGTTTCTTTTTAAATTGCTGTCAACTCAGCATCTATAACAAACACATATATATTCCTTTTCTATTACTTTTAAGAAACTACTTTAGGAAAGAAACTGATAAGCTGGAATGCATCCAGCAGATAGCAGCCAAGAGGATGAAGGAACTGGAGACCATAGGAGGGTGCCATGCCTGATTAGGTATTCAAAGGGCCACTATCTAGGACAGGCTTAATCCTGCTTGGCTCTAGGGCAGTGGGTTGCAGAGAGCCAAGTTGAAGCCAGCTATGGGGGAAAATGGATTAAAAAAAAATGAGAGTTATCCCTAAGCAAATGAGCTGCCTCAGGTGGAAGTGTCCCCTTTCCTGAATCTCTTCAACTGTTGAGATATTCCTAGTCAGCTACAGTTTGGACTAGATTAAACTGGGATCTGGGAACTTGAACAGGAAAAAAGTTAATCATTTTTTGATGTAATTGATTTCCTTTGCAATCCTGTGTATTTTATTCATTTAAAAATAGTATTCAGAGAAGGGGTCCATAGGCTTAATCAGACTGTCACCAAAGAAGATTATAAGACAAAAAAGGTCAAGAAGCCCCTGTCCAGAGGTTCTTATGGTTCCTTCTAACTCTCATTCTGGGGAAGTGGGTCTTATTCTCATATTTAAACACTCGAGTTGCCAGGTTTTTTTAGACCACACTGTGTGTACTATGTTCATGGGTGTGTATGCTAATTTTACAGTGAAACTTCTTGTAGTAAAGTGGCCTGTTAAAGAATTGGGACTTGGGGTCTCACAGTGAAGGAAGTGAATGCTTACTAATCATTTCCCAGATGACCCCCAAACAAGAGATTTAACTTCTTCTTCTTCTTGGACCACTTCCCTGGCAGTATTCCCAGAGTAGTAATCTATCCTGAGGGAGCTGCTGGAGAATCAGAGAATTCTCAGAAGTTCAAGCGGGTGACGCAGAGTGCTCAGGGTGAAACTTGACTTTGGATGGTTTTAATAACATTTGCTTGAATGAAGGCTTAGTCCTGCACTCTCAGCAAGCTCTTTGGTCATCGTCCACTCTCTGCTGCCCACGTTGTCTCCTCCAGAGTTCCTTAGCACTTCTACCGAGGGCTGGGCAGGGCCAGACGAGGAGGCGGCATTCAGCCAGTTCCTTCTTTGTCAAAAAAAAAAAGGGGTTGTGAATAAGAGGACTAAAGTAACTTTGGTAAATAACCATGTATTTTCCACACTGTTTCTGGTTCCTATCTCTGTCCAACATCAGTATTGTTGTTTGTGTAAGAACCGAGCAAGATCGTTATTTTATCTGAAATAGTATTTCTCAAATGAAAACTGTATACTGTCTATTGTTTAGTCATTTTTCTGTCATATCCAACTCTTCTGTGACCCCATTTGGGGTTTTCTTGGCCAAGATACCAGAGTGGTTCGCCATTTCCTTCTCCAGCTCATTTTACAGATGAGGAAACGAGGCAAACAGGATTAAGTGACTTGCCCAGGGTCACACAGCTAGTGTCTGAGGCCGGATTTGAACTCTTGAAGATGAGTTTTCCTGACATCTAGCTGCCCTTTGTATACCATCTGTCTACTGCTATATACCATCCTAGGCCCATAAACTTTTTTTTTTAACAAATACTAAGTGCATCCTTCTTTATAAAACCTGACTTTTGTTTTATTCATATTGCTATAAATTGTGTTTCATCTGAAAATAATGGGAGAGTTGATTTTTTCACAATCCAGAATTTTTGCAAATCCTCTGTTCTCCTACCTTCAAGGCCCAATATGAAATAATAATAGTGTCATAACATGACTGCTGAAAGGGCTTCAGAGCTAACCTTGCATTAATAGATGCAGAGGGTCCAGCATGAGAGAGGACTTCTTTCTGTGCTCCACTTCATCCTGGTCTGATGGCATTTAAAGTAAATTAAGATTACTCTATTAATGAACTTTTGTAGTCTGATGACTCTTTGATGGTGAAACCTTTGCCCAAAGCTGAGGGAACAATGCAGGTGGAGCGGTCAGGGGGAAGGCATAGAGGTGGGCTGGTCCAGATGGTGTCTGTGGTCCCTTCTCTTTTTAAAATTCTTTGATTTTAACCTCCATGTCTTTTACTGTTTTTCAGGTTAACAAATAAAAATATCATTCACAAGCCTGCAGAATGGACCCTAATTGCTATTGTATTATTATCATTGTAAGTACTCATTGAGTTTTTAAATTCTGAGTAATGTTCTATAGCTTGTGTGTGTGTATGTTATAGTATTGTTGTCCAAAAGCCATGCAGCTTTTGAAGAATTTTGTTTGAAAACATAATTGCTTAGTTAACTTTCCAGACTGAATTGTAAAAGTTCTACCTTTTCTCTGTACCCTGTATCCTGTATGGTGGGGAGAATAGTACTTATTTAAATGATGTATACGTGTGTGTGCGCGCGCGTGTGTGTGTGTGTGTGTGTGTGTGTGTGTGTGTGTGTGCGCGCGCGTGTGTGTGTACACACATATGCATTCATGTATAGATGGGTATGTATGTATATATCTACACACATAATGTGTGCACGTGCACACAAATATATGTATCTCCCAATCACTTTATTTTTGCATTTTTTTAAACCTTCATTCTGTGGAATTTATAGTAAAGGTGATTTCAGTTAGTCCCTTTTGAAATAGGAAAGTTTTGGAAATTTGGAAACTAAAAGGCAAAGCCAGCACTCTGCATTTGGTATTGAGTGATGAAAGCATGTTCATGGTCATCCCAAAAGTCTTGTTGTTTAGATATCTCTGACGTACTCCCCTAGCTGATAAGATTTCGTCTCTCTTCCACATATTTTATCATTAATGGCATCCAAAAACTCCCTATAGACCCTGATTTCCCCAGTTAATATGAAATTTTAAAGTTCAGTGCTCTTAAAAGAAATAAAAACAATCTTGCTACACACGCCCACATAAAACATTTAACACGGATTCGCCTTTTAAGAAATCACTGGTGGGTTCTCAGGCTGAGCCTTTCAATAGGGTTAAAACCATCAAGTAATCTTTGTGTGTTTTTCAGCTTGAATTACAAAATTGCGGAAATCTTATTTCTGGGACCATTTATTACCACACCGCTGCTGCGGCTGCTTTGGGGCTTATTGGGGCACTGAAGCCTGTAGGATATAAAAGTACTTAGCAGCCATTCCCAAGTCAGGGAGTGTCATGGGCCAACACGAGCCGCCTAGCCCTGCTCGCACAGCCTTTGATATTGCTTCAGTCTGACACATTGTTCTGGCTTCCCTGTCCCAAGAAAGACTGTACCTGGGGCATTATTAGCACAGGCTTCAGCGAGCCAGCTCTGTCTGGGTCACCCTGCCCACCTACGGCTCATCTGATTCATTAAATCAGAACACAGAAAGTAACTTTACTTAAAGCCTTGATATAAATTTTTTATCAACCATAAGAACAAATCTTTTGTCATTTTTACCATTCAGGCTTCCAGTTGACTTGGTAATTTGTGAAACAGATCTTATGAATTTTTCAGAGTTCCTCACATTTCATTAAATATTTTGGTTACTAACAAAAAATATTAGTGTCTTTGCTCACCTGTCCTCTCTGATGCCTCCTGATGAATGCCTATATAGGCTGTATTTTAACTTTACTTAATTTAATTGCATTAAAGGAGAAATAACATTTTTTTCCTGCCAAATCAGAGACCCCAACACAAAGTAACTTCAGAACCCTGCTTTTTTAAAAGTTAGTAACTGAAAGGATATTTTCTTAAGCATAGCCTGGTTGTCTTATGAGCAGTGTGATGCTGGTACACCTTTCTTCTTTCAAACCATTACATCTGATTTTAATAGAGAAAACACAGGTGGTAAAAGACATATTGAAATCTTTAATAGATCTTCTAAGTGCTATGTTCCTCCCTTAGGTTAAGGGTTAAGTGCAAAGGTAGGAAAACTTTCTTTCAAGAGCCATTGGCTCACAAAAATAGCAGCCTTTTGAGAAATGGGTGTTAAATGATAATACAGTTAGGAATACTTGGAACTGGTTGAACCAGTACGTGCAAAGGTCGGCTGGTCTCGGTCTCGAATGAGCAGGTAGGAGCTTTTCGGCATCTTAAGATAGCATTTGCACAAATCATCACTGGTGACTTTATGGAATAACTTAGGCCAAGAGGTGCCCAGGATGGGCTGGCACAAATTGGTTGTGATCTTCACTATGGAAGGTAGAGGAGGTCACTGGCCCATTTAAATACACCTTCTGGGGGTTCTCTCTTATGTCACTGCTAGCACGTAAGTCCTCATTAATAGCATGTTACAACCTAGTCACTGTACCTACATTGTGATTCTTGGGAGGAACACCAGTGTTTAAAGGGTGGTTTTTGTGTCAGTAAAAGTACTGGGTAACTTCACTCCTAAGCAGTCCAGCCCAGTCTCTTCCTCCCTCAGTGCTGGGCCCAGCTCACTCTCTGTATGAAGTCTTTGGCCAAGGTCTTACATACATGCATGCATACATGAAGACATGCATACACAGGTATGTTTTATACGCACATATAGATTTCACCGTGAATAAATACAGATATGTTTGTATACATAGATGTGACTAGTTGTAGTGATAAGAAATATTCTGGAAGCTGTTTGGAGGAGAGATCAGAGGGTAAAAGAGCAGTGGTGGAAAGAAATGTTGTACTATGTCAATAGGGACACATGGTATTGAAGGTATTTATTAAGGTTGCCTTGGGAAGGAATTGGGAGGTGAATGTAAGATCTGCGGAGGCAAGGTTGACATAACTTGGTAATTACTTGGATATAAGAGAAAAGGGAGGTAGGGAAGAATCAGTCAGTGAACGCTTATTAAGTACCTGGCACAGATCTATGCTTCAAGAATATTATCAAGGATGGAAAGGAGAGAGAGATACTGGAGACAAGGATATCAGTTAGCAAACTATTGCATAGTCCAGGCAAGGGTGAAAAGGTCCCGGGCGAAGGTAGAGAGAAAGGGGTCGAAGAGATGTAATTCACAAGACTTGGCAACTGATGGGAGCTGAAGAATAAGGGGAAGGGGAGGGCCAAGGCAGCTGTAAAGAGTACCAGTGTAGCGATGGAAGAGAGATGGGTCGTGGAGCAGCAGACGAAACGAGAACAGTCAAAAAGAGAAGCTAATATCTCAGGTGTGGGGATATGTTGGCCTTGTAGTGCTGATCGTAAGGGAGGGTACAGTGTTCTGGAAGACAGGCCCAATACCTGCTTTTTCATAGACGTGATTACCGACGCTCATTAGAGCAGTGGTCTCCCCTGTGGGCTCCGTGATAGCGTGCTCTTAAGGACACCTCCTTCAGCTGTTTGGAGATCATGGATCATCTCATTGGTGTAAATGCTGCTTCCATCTCCCCTAACTGCGGCCACTCTTCAACTTAATAATAGCCAGCATTTATCTAGCATCTTAAGGTTTGCAAGTCACTTCACAAAGATGATCTCACTTGATCCTCACAACCATCCTGAGAAGTAAGTGCTATTATCAACCCCATTTTACAGATGAGGAAACTGAGGCGGCCAGTGACAATCACCTAGTAAGTGTCTAACTAAGGGTTTGAATTCAGGTCTTTCTGATTCCAAGTCTAACGTTCTATCTACTTCCCCGCCTCACTGCCTAATGGGGAGTCATGTAGTGACCACCCCACGCAGTGATGAGCCCCTGAGGTCATCCAGGCTGGTCCTCAGACTGCAGGCATGCAGTGTAGTGCATGGCCCATCCTGGAAGCCCCTTTCCAGGGTCAGCTCCATGTCTGAGACTTTGGTGCCCGTTAATCTGTGACTTTGGAGTGTTCATCAGTCAGTTACTGGGGATGGCAGAGCAGTGATGGGAGCTGGTCCTGTTTGCTTGCTACCTTTTTCTCATTGTAAATCTCCCTGTCGGAAACTCGCAGCCTTGAGAGAGCAAGTTGTTGGTCTGTAACATGAAAACCAAAGGTCTTGGCCTTGTCGAGCCCTTGTGTCATCCACACCAGTGGCTTCCCTTCCTACAAAGCCTTCGTTTACAGTGTGAGATCTCACCCCTAATGGCGCATGGCTTCATAGGGCAGGGGAGGGGGAGAAGTCAGGAACAAGTGTTGAATCTACAAAAGCAAGTTTTTCTCTCATGTTTTCATGTTCTGTGTTGCTTCATAGAAGTGAATTTGCTACTTTCTCCTATTATCATCCCCACAGTAGAATTTTTCCCAGGTAGCAGGAGGCTTGTTTTTGTGCTTGTCTCCCAAGCACCTGGTATAGTGCCTTTTACCTAGTTAACAAGCATTTAGTAAGAGCTTATGATGTGCGTGCCAGACACTGGCAATGCTTAAATAAGGGTTTGTGAGGTAGGATAAGCATTTGAAGAACAGGATCAGCCGCTTCAAAGGATCTGTCAACATAAAGAGACTGGTTTTCCACATCCAGGAACATACGTACTGAATGATATTATTCTTTGAAGCAATCACATTCCTCAGAAATTTTAAAATTTCTCTTTTGTTATCACCTTAAGTTCTAGTTCATCAGCCACTCAAGAGAAGACGTCGTATTGTTTTGTACTCCTGAAGCACCCTACCTTTGTCCCATGCTCTTTTCTGCCCGCCCTCTTTCCCTCATCCACTGATATGAATCTCCAACCCAAGGACCCCTAGAGAGCAAAGCTGGTGCTAGCCTAGCGCTGAGGGGCCCTAAGGAGAGGGACTGAAGCTCAGAGCCAGGGGTGAGCTTTGTGGGAGGATATGGGTAAGCACAATGACACACATGCTGTAAGACTGCTCTTTAAGTGCTGCATATATTTGGAATTGGCCGAGTCTCATAAGCACAAATTACTAAAGGAACTAGAAGTCAAGAAGTGTTTCTATTTTAAATGTATTCATTCTCTCCAAATTCAATTGGAGAACCTTGGCCAATAGACCAGTCCCTTGAATTCTGGTAGCTTACCATTAGTTGTACATTCCAGAAAGGGTCAGGTGAACTCAGTGGGAAGTCAGAGAGAGACTCGTATATTATTTTTCATGGGGATTTCTAGCTATCAAATGAAGCAGAAAAAGACCTATTCGTCATTACTAGGAAAGACTAAAAGGGAAGAAGAGACATGGCCACTCTAACAAGGCCACTTGCTGTTCTCAGCTTATACCCCTGCTAGACTCTAATGGAAAGCTTTCAAGATAGTTGGCTACAAATGTCTGTTTCCATTTTGTTTATTTGAACTGGC